TTGTGAAGCCAATAGATCGGTGTGCGCCCATTCCTGATTGATAAATACCCGATCTGCAGCGACAGAGAATGACAAGTGTCGAGGCACTGATGAACTTCGGTTCGATGAAGTGCTTATGACCCATCTGGTAGGCCTCAGTGGTGGACCGACTGCGCCAGGTGCGTCTGTGCGCATGTTTGTGTTTCTGGTCTCAGCTGCTGGTGGTCAGGGTTATGATTGGCTGAATGAAGGCAGAATAAGCCCGAAACAGTACTGTATCAATCTACCCGCATTCTCTGTCGTCCGTCCTTGCTGATATATATATGTACAGGACAATCCTGTTGGTATCCCAGCGCACCACGTTATAGAACTGCTCCAACTGTGCCTTAGGAACTATTGTAAGTTCGACAATAAGTACTACCAACAGGTGAAGGGAAGTCCAATGGGCTCCCCAATATCCGGTCTACTCGCCGAACTAGTGCTACAGCGACTAGAACATGAGGTTTTTCAAACTCTCAACCCCAAAATGTGGCTGCGCTATGTAGACGACACCTTTGTCGTAATAAAGAACCGCGACGTCGAAAGGCTACATCAGAGGCTGAATGAAGTCTTTCCGGCCATACAATTTACCCGCGAAGAGGCAGTAGGAGACAGTCTGTCGTTTCTGGACGTGAAAATACAAAGGCTGGATGACGGTAACCTCGCAACCAGCGTCCATAGAAAAGGGTCTGATTCTGAGATCATCCTCAATTATGGAAGCAATCACCCTGCGGCTCACAAAAGAAGCTGCGTCCGAACCCTCTTCCACCGGGCCTACCGGTATTGCAGCAATGAAGATCTGCTGAAGAAAGAACTAGGCTTTCTATATCGGCTATTTCGATCTAACGGATACCCAGTCAGTTTCGTGAAGAACTGCCTCAGACGTCAGGCACAACCTCGAGACCCCTCCTCAGATGGAGAAACCGTGACGCGGAAATTCTTCTCCCTGCCCTATATGCAGGGGACCTCAGAAATGTTCGCCCGTCAGTTAAGTCAGTTCGGTATTCGCGTTTCCCACAAGCCTGCATCGTCGCTGCGCACAATCTTAACTCGAGTAAAGGATTCTATCCCCAAAGAGGAACAGACTAACGTCCTTTATCGCATCCCGTGTGCCAATTGTCCCTGCGTATATGTTGGTCATACAGGACGACGCCTGGGAACTCGTATTAATGAACACAAACTAGCTGTCCGTCGCCGTGATCCACTGTCCCTCGTCTTTGCACACGCACTCCAGTG